AATATCACGTGGGTGGAGGGCTTGTTAAATTATAGGTTCTGATTCAGTGAATCTGTGGTGCAAAGGCAAATTCTCAACAGGAGAGCCACAGACCGAACCAGTTCAAAGCCCTGCTCTAACAAAGTTATCCAATGGGCACATTTTCGGGCTATGAGTATTCCCGGATCCTCCCCAAGAACATTTTAATCTATTGCAGTGATTAGAAAAAAATTTAAAAATAAATTAAATCCCAAGATACAAAAAGGAAAGAAACTTGCAGGCCTACTGAGATAGAAGCCTCCAGGTGGCTACTGGAAAAGTATCAGCATTCCTGCGGCCAAACAACTTAGAGAAAACCATGCAAGACGACCTCGTGCAACATGACCAGGCTGAAATTTGCAGGTGACAGCTGGGGGACGTCATCTTCTTGGTTCTCCTGTGAGCAAAGAGAAATCTGAACAGCGACCTCCATTCTCTCAACTCCCCCCAAATCTCACCTGGGAGCATTTATCTCTGCAGAGTGGGGAGAGGGCATAGCTTGTGCGGACCTCAGGCCAGAAAGCATCAAGGAGCGGACAGCCACAGGGAATTCTCCAGGTGAAAAGGACCTATCCAGTATGTGCTGCACATAGCAAACTTTTCTGAGAACCTCTGGTTAAGTCCCGTCGAGTTTAGCCACTTAGGTCCCCAGATGTGACAGGAAGATCTTCCCTCAATATCTTTACTACAAAACCAGCTGCGCCCCACTTTCCTCCATCCATACCCGTAAAGTATTTGGCCAAACAAACACCACCCCACCCCCGCCAACTAACTACCCAGGAGTCCTACTGTGGCTCAAAGCACCCCTGACCCTCCCAGTCAAACTGGCCTCCACCGCAGGAAGCCAGCAGGAACCATCACATTCTCAGTGAAACCTGACCGCTTTGCAATGCCTTCCGGAAGAAGAAATGATCAAATGAGACCGGCTCAGCAGGGTCTTCCCCTGATGACCCTCGGAGTTACCATGTTTATTTTCACGCTGCAAATGCGGATGCTTTACAGAGACATTTCATGCTTGAGCTCTGCATGGAGCTGATGACAAAGTAACGTTTTTTAGTCATGTTATAATTATTTTCATTATTTCTTAACAAAGCTATTAAATAATCTGTACATAGCCTGGCCCTAGTAAAAACCGGAGGGAGCACCTTTTCAAATCTCCCAAGGTCTTTCTGTTTCATTCTGCTGCATCTCCTATATACAAGGCCAGCCAGAGTGGGCCCCAAGAACTAACTATAGGTCTCAAAGCTTGGAATCGCAGGCACCCACCTTAATCCAAGTTCCAACCCTACCTCCCCCCATCCTCCTGGGTACTACTAGGTCCCGATCCTGGGAAGCTGGGAGCCTAGCGCCGCTTTGCCGGACCAGCAGCGAGAAGAGGCAAATCCGTTTGCTGAGTCTCGACCCCTCGGCTAGCTGCCTACAGGCAGCCCAGGCCCCCACCGAGGTTCTGGGAACAGAGTCCAAGGCAGATGAGGCCTCGGGGTCGGGCGGTCCCTGGTGGGCTCACAGATCTCGTGGGTCCTCCCGTTTGACCCCAGCCTCTGCCACCCTGAGCTTCTTATTCTGATGCGTCTTAACGTGCTTGGCAAGGTGGTCGCTGCGCATGAAGCGCTTGCCGCACTCTGGACACGCGAAGCGCTTCTCGCCGGTGTGAGTCCGCAGGTGCCGCTGCAGCTCGTCCGAGCGCGTGAAACTCTTGCCGCAGAAGAGCCAGTTGCACACGAACGGCCGCTCGCCCGTGTGCCAGCGCAGGTGCGCCTTCAGGTGCGAGGTCTTGCCGTACACCTTGCCGCAGCCCGGCACGTGGCATACGTGCTGCTTCTTCTTGCCGGGTTCCGCCTCGGGCGCACCGCTCGCAGCCTGGCAGTTGGGGCAACGGCAGCGACGGCACCTCCTGGCCGTGGCCGCCAGGGGGGCCTTGGTCTGCAAAAGAGCCGCGATCTGGCTCTGGTACTGCGCAAAGTCCGACGGGCCCAAAACCAGGCCTCGTTGCAGGGCAGCGGCTGCTGCGGCTGCTGCTGCAGCGGCGGCGGCGGAAGCAGGGTAGCGAGGTGCGTGGGGGCCCCCGGTACAGGCGCCGGGGAGACCCCCACCTGGAACCCCGGACGATCCCGGTCCCGCGCCCGCCTGCGGGATGCTCCACCACGGGAGATCGTCGGGGCCGGGGTTAGGAGACAACTGACGACAGGTGGGCTGCGGGGGCGGCGGCGGCGGCGGCGGCGGCAGCAGGTTGGAATAGCCCGGCGGCAGCGCGGCCTGGGCTGCGTAGGGCACGTAGGCCGGCGCGCAGCTGGCGGGCAGAGCGGCCATGCTCGAGGGCAACATCTTGACCGGCGAGAACTCATACGGATAGGAGGGGTCGGCCGGGGGTGTCAGCGGTAGCTCGTGGGCAGCCCCGAAAGATGGCTGCAGGTGCGTCTTCTGCGGCGTAAGACCCAGGCTGGGGTGCGGGGGAGGCAGAGCGCTGGGCGAGTGTGCCGGCATGTCGGAGGTCCACGGGTGGAAGAGCCTGGAAGGTGAGCCCAGCGCGGGGTCGTAGGGCACCTGCAGAAAGTCCGGGGGCGCCACCGCGCCCGGCTGGCCGATCCGGCTACAGGTGGCAGCCAGCAGCGCTAAGGGCGAGTGTTTGCCCAGCTCCGGGGAGGCGCTGGGGGTGCGGTCCTGCAGGGGCGGGCGGCAGCCGAAGGCGGAGAAGAGACAAAAGGTTAGCGCTCCCAACGTGGTCACCGCCCGCCCACCTGCCCGCCCCGCCACCTTCTTGCCCCCACGCTGGCTATTTTACCGCCGCCCTCCCCTCCTCTCATTCGCTCCCCTGCCACCGCCCCCCACGCAAGCATCCACCGGTCTCGGGAAACTTTTGGTGCCTGCACTCGCTGAGCGCAGCACGCGCGCGCGCTTGTTTCCCGCGAAACTACTGGGTCACCATCGTGGCAGAGAAGCTGGAGTGAAGTGGGAGGGCAGGGTTCCGACGGTGTGCCGGGGATCCACTGTCAGTCGGAGTCTAAAAACACCCAGAGCCGAGCTCCCTGCTCCCCCATGCCAGTTTTTAAAGCTCGGGTTCCTCGGCTACCCTCGCGCACCTCCCCAAGCGCGCCCAAGGCTGACATCAACCGGAGGGCCCGGCGGGGAGAGCTCAGGCGCTGTTCCCCAGCCAGTGGCGCACCTCCGCACAACGTTCCCACAAAGGCTACACTCTTGACACCAATTTAAAGTTGGCCTGGGCACCCTTTCTGCCCAGTTTTTCGCCTACTTTGACTCCAGGGTCACGCACCGAGCGGAGTTCCCTTTGAGATTCAAGGTGCAAGAAGTGCGGTCACAGCCCTTCCCCTCGATCCCTTCCACGGGCTCTGACCTGGAGGAAGGCCTGCAGTGAGTCGTTCCGGAGCACGGCCACGGCGGCCATGGCTACAGCTTGCGGGCCGCTGAATGCGGGGCTGGGCGCCGCCAAGGCATGGAGACCCGAAGGCGAGGACGAGCGACCGCCCAGTGTCCCTCCCTCCAGGCGCCCGTTCTGCGCACCCGGCCCTCCC